CAGGCCGCACCGTTTCGCCCTGTGCGGAAGTTGGCTGGGCGGCCTGCGCCGTACTGATGGACTGGGACATCGATTTTCCTTAGAGATGCATTAGGTGCTTGGCGTTTGGCATCCTCCATCTGGTGCCGGTGAGGTGGCGTGAGGCCATGAGGTGACAGAAAGCTTTCTGCTCGGCGAGAAGCAAAGAGTCAGAGTAGAAGGTAAGGTGAGAGCTTCATGCACGGCCAAAAGAGGTCAAGAGTCAGGTTCATGCATTCATGCCACCTTGCGCAGACAAAGTCGGGGTGCCAAGCGGCAAGCTGCAGCGGGAAGCGGGAATCTTCAGCACGCACCAAGCTGCCTTGCTTCACGCTATTTGCAAGATGCGGCAGCGAATGATGCCGCGGCCACCATGGCCTTTCAGGCTTGCTTGCGAGCAGTGAAGCTTTAAAGGAATTGCTCGCATCTTGTGACCGGGCCTCGAGCTCTTTAGCTCTGTGGAAGGGCCGATATGGATTCGGCACGCAAAAAGACCCATGAGTTGGCGTGCAGCTTCCCTTCGCCCCAAGTGCAGCTTGCCTTGGCTAAGTGAATCCACCCACTGCACCTTGGCTCATCGAACTTGCTTACTCACGCAAACCCTTTTAATTTCTGCATTTGCGAAAAGGGAGCGTGAGCAAAACAAGATGTACAAGGTTTCCAGTAGCAACCAAAGCAAGCTTCTCCTTCGCAGGAGGATATCTCAGCGATTTCGGCTTGTGTGCTCCCCTGGCCTGCTTAACGCTTTTCCCTCGCACATGGGGTAGACACGCCATATATTTGTCAATGCAGGTTGGGGGGAGCGCGCACGTCATGCTTCAGATGCTTTAAGCTGCATGCCAGTGTTTCTAAAAATCGGCGACACCCGCTTTGGACTGTTTGAGGGAAAACCAAACTCGTCTCATGCCACGCTTTTGGTCTTTTCTTGTAGATGTTCACTGTCCTCCATGCTGCATGCATGGCAACGCGTGGTGTACAACTCCTCTCCTGGCTCAGCTGCTTCACTTTGAGAGGTCGCAAGTTTGGTTTGCGCTTCCTCGGGTACAAATCACTGAAACTGCCGTCAACTCCAGAGGGTTGAAGGGGCGCTTGATCGTCTGATCACCATCTGGCTTCACAGACTGGTTGCGTTGTCAAGTCGGCAGGGGTCGCTTAGTTTCACCCTTCAAAGATTGCAATTCACTGGTGGGCAGTGGGCTCCCATGAAACCGCCGCAGACAAGCGTCCCTTGTACTTGGGAGATTGAGGGACCCACATTGGGCTTTCCTTGACCCGCAATGCCGCAGCTTTCAAACCGAAACCATGCCAGGCCATGATTCTGCCAGCGCGCACGGCGTAGCGTATCGGATTCTTGTATCCGCTCAGTTTCAACTTTCTCACGTCCCACGTCAAATGGCCGTGTCTCAAAATCTGGCGCCCCCTCGAAATGGTTGTCTCTTTTTTCCTGTTGAAACCACCCCGCATCAGATGAAGTACCGGCGATCCGAAGCGAGATTCCCAAGCCACCATGTCGTCCATTCTTTGCTTGCCCGGCCATGGCCGGTGTCATTGATCTTGACGACGCGATTGAGGATCCCGCTCTCGAGTGGCTCCGAGGTTTGATGCAATGAGTGGTTTCAAGGTCATCAAGTAACTTTTCCCCTGCGTCAGCTTCGAGCAAGAGCGGGGGGGTGATTGGGGGCCGGTTTTTGGCGCCCTTTAGAGCTCCATGCATTGGGGTTGGACGACATCTTTGGACCCGCAGGTATCTTTCAGGAGGACTAAGGTTTTGCTCTCTTAGACCTGTGCAACAAAGCGCACTAGTGGGTCAATTTGGTCAGATTCATGGTTGCATTTGTGTGGTAGGCGCGGCGTGGGCAGTTTTGCCCCTGTCTCAAGTTGCAATATTGGAATGTTACCAAGGTTTGCGATTGTGACAATTGACGTGCGGTTGTGAACATGTGCTGCGACCCAAGAGGCCAAGAGGACAATGCTTTACCCTGGGGTGTATAGGCAGGAAAAGTCCCATCCCCTGAGATGTCCGCCAGAGATACTGCTAAGATGTTGAACGCCAGAGTCAATCACTGCTTTGGACCATTTTGCTCCAGAAGGGCCTTCTGGTGGGTTCCATGGTGAACATTGATGCACTGAAGCGCAGTCCAAGGGTGGAAGAACACAAGCATACAAGACCCTTCTGGTGTTTAAGCAAAGCGCAGGGTTTGGTCAGCTCACTGCTTGGCTTGAGGTTCGGTCAACACTTCCGACAAACCAGGGATCAACCTGAAAATCTGTTTAGCTCGCAGGAGTTGATTCATGTGAGGCCTGTTAAACGCCCCCCAATGTGGAACATACCACATAAATCCAATCACACGGGCTGCCCATGGCTCTTAATGTCGGTCACCTTCAAGATGCGCAGTGGACACAACATAATTGTGCGTGCGTCCACCAAAGGGTCCCCAATCAATCATTTCAGCCTAAGCTCGGCGCTATCCCTGCATAGACCTAGGAGCCTGGATAGGCCAAGGACAAGCCCCTAATAAGTCCTTAGGGCTTAGTCAGAGATAGCTCCCAGGTGCAGACGCAACACGTGAGCCCTCAGGATGCGGCGGTGCTGATACAAACGCCCCTGCGGCGAGTGCGGAGGCACGGCTCACTTTGGGTGTCCCCTTGGCGTGTGTGTTCGCGGGGGGGGGGGGAGCGCTGTGTTTTATGGGGGCTTTCCAAAGGTGTGCGGGTTGCGAGAGTCCGAAAAAGCCCGAAACCCAACGAGTTCCAATGAGTCCCAATGAGTGACAGACAATATTATTGGTGGGGCTTCGCAATTTCTACCAAAACCAGGGACTCCGGCCCCCAATCTCCAACAGGTCCTTGTTGGGAAGCAAGTAGATTTAACCATGACGCCTAAGGGGGTGGCTTTTTGAGGCCCTTTTGAGTTTTCTGCAACCATGTTGGGGCTTCCTGCATTTGGAGATTGTTCCAAACACATAACACATTTCAATACCGAGCTGTGACAAGACCTCAAATCTTGCCGGTCATGCATGCGACGACTGGATGGGGGTTCTTGAGACATAGGAGACACAGGCAGGCTCCACTTGGTCTGAGTTTACCTTCGCACTTTGCCACTGGTGTGAAATTCGATTGCGGAACCCTTGGCTCGCCGTGAGCAATCATAGGCAATGCTGTTGCACCTGGTGCTTTCGCTGCAAATGGATTGCTTGTTGCGCCTGGAGAGTGAGAGCACTGAAAGCGACTTGTTGGCCCTAGGGAAATTGCCGCTCTTTTTTAACCATGGAAGTAGAATGGAGGGATTGTTTGACGCGGCCTCCTGTCCACTTTCTTGGAAGGAAACTCCGAGACCGGCGAAATGCGGCCAGGCCAGACATCACGCCCAACAATCCGCCACGGAGGGCAGCTTCAGCATCTTTGCACAGGAATTTGAGCAGCAGCGCCACTTTCACGTGGCTCTTTATGTATAACCGTGCTTGACTTTTGCCTTTTTGGCATTTGTTTTCTGTTTTAAGCTACAAATATTGCTTTGGACCCTCCAACGATATAGACTCGGCAGCAGAAGGACCGTCTATGAGAGGAACTCACGTGACACCAGAGCCGTCGAGTCGGGCAAGCGTTCTCAACCACATGAAGCGATCAGGGGTGGGGAATGAGGCAATAGCCCTTGGCTAATAGGATTCTAACCATTCCCCCTTACCCCTATTGCTTCAAGAAAAATGCCGAATACGACCTTATTAAAGCCTTATTTGGATAATCAACCGATTTCAAGCGGGTTGGGGTGGGGGATTTGGGATCTTTCTCAAAGGGGCAGATACTTAGTATGTTGTTGACGTACCCTGCGCCCCTTATGTTCAGAAGGGCCAACCGAATCGCCGGGCAATGGGCTGTCGCTGGCTCGCTCGCTGAGGCCAGCGCCATTGCGCCGGCGTCCAAGCGGCCTCGGGGCGAGGAGCCGTGGGCGGGCGATTGATCACCGGGGCATGGCAGATTTGGAGCTCCCAAAACCGCCGTGGTTCAAGGAAACTCCCTTGGTTAGTTTGTAGGGGAGCAAACCCCGAGGTGGTCGGTTGTAGAGGAACCCCCTTGGTGTAATGCTCGGTGACTGAAACTTGCTGGATCCGGGAATCGCCCGGTTTGGATTCCTGGACAAGTTCCATGGTTCAGTTGGGGGCAACCAGCAAGTGCCTCCTGCAGGAATCATCCCCTTGGCAGGGCGTCAGACTCAGAGCTTCCAAGGACTGTTTCGGGCAGTCCTCGGATCTTGGTGAAGGAAGCTTCTCTTTGACTCCATTTCCTCTGGCAGACCATCTTGAGAGCTGGAGTCCGAACATGCGAGTGAAAGGCTTCGGATAGTGAGAGGGATGGAAAGGGTAGGACTCGAAACAATTCCGCAGTCGAAATAAACCTCGCTCGAGGAAGGACACAGGAGACGGCCAATGGAGCAGGCGTTGCCACTATGAATGCAGACGTTAGACAATTCCAAGGTGGGTGTGGGTGTCTCTCTGTCACTATGTTTGAACTATGCAACTTTCTTCCCCATGTGCTTTTTGAAACCTCTCTTTCCCCACTTGTCAAGACCCAGCTACACGTTCGTAGCCGTGCCTATGTTGGTTCATCTTGGTCCCATGTTGCTTAGTCTTGGTCCGTCTCGCCAAAAAGTCTATCCCAATCTGGTTTTAACATGTTTAGGGGTGTTAAAAAAAAGGCCTGACCAAGCGACCCAACCAGTCCCAACGTGCAGGAGCCAAAACCCGAGCCCTGGCGGAGAAGCGGCTCGGTGCCACTGGACCGCCAGGCCGAATTCGGTCGGGGGTTGGCCGAACATTTCACCCCGAGCAGAACCAAGCAACAAACAAACCAACCAAACAGGGAAGGGCTCACTTCCTGAGTTCATGAACTTTTAAACTTTTTGGGAAGACCGTTTTAGTAGTAACTATAAAGTTTGGACTTTTTTAGGGCCATCCACTCAGCCAGTGAGAGGGAGAGTCTTTAGTATGGGGACAATTGAAATCTAGACATTTGGGTAGCAGAACCAAGCAACAAACAAACCAACCAAACAGGGAAGGGCTCACTTCCTGAGTTCATGAACTTTTAAACTTTTTGGGAAGACCGTTTTAGTAGTAACTATAAAGTTTGGACTTTTTTAGGGCCATCCACTCAGCCAGTGAGAGGGAGAGTCTTTAGTATGGGGACAATTGAAATCTAGACATTTGGGTAGCTTTCCTACCCTAGTCCTTTTGATGTGAGCAGCCGGGACGGGCCTTCGACAAACCAGTTAAGACCTTTTAGTGGACATCAAACATACAATGGAGAATGGGATCATATGATTGATATCCACCGATCCTTTATTATGGCGTTCCCACTTTTGAGGTGTTCTCCAAGAAAAAAACTGCGAAATCGGGGCTTGGTTTCTCTGTGGCACTCTTTACAATCGACACTTTTTTTGGACAGTCTTCTTGGAACGCAATGGAAACACCGCTTTCCCTCAAGAGTGGGGTGTGCTCGTGATTTGGGGGTCATGATGCCTGACTGAGAACATGCAATCATGGCGAATCGCGCCGATGTGGGAGCGGTCTGCCTACTTTGCGCCGAGCTCTGGGGTTAAACCGAGTTGTTATGCTGGCCTTCGCTTGGGGATCCCGTATTTCAGGCAGTGGACATATTGTAAAGCTTGCAGGATGCACTGATGCACGGGGCAATGCCAGTGCCTATGGGGTTAGATGCTTGGGGTTGCTCGGGAGGGTGTGTTAGCTTAGGCCTTTGAGGCAAGATTCCAATGGCCCGGTACAGTGAGCGTTGGTCATATGTGGAGAGCGCTTGGAATCCAGATGATGATATCTGTTTGCATAGGGTCGACATTGCCAGGTTTGCAGAGTCCGGCCACAAACAGTGTAGGCGACCTTGCATCCAGTTCTTTTTCATTGTGGCCATGGTGGTAAAGGTTGTGGACACCATTGACCAATGTCGTTCCTGGACTGATCAATGCTTGTCGCGCTCTCAGCTATCTATGGATGTGGAAGGCGTGGATCTGTGCAGAAGTGGCCCCATCTCAATCATCCAGATCGGCTTGGACTCCGATGTGTTGCTCTTTGACATCATCACCTTGGGGCAAGACGCTTTCAGCCGCGGTGGCTTGAAAGATTTGCTGGAGTCCGAGCGAGTGTGCAAGGTCATCTACGATGGCAGGCTGGGTTGGGTAACAAACAGAATGGGTGTGGCTTCCAAAACAACAAGAGCACCAGCTTCAAGAGAGGAACCCCATACAAAGGAAGTCCCTTAGGGCCGTCAAAGGGTCAGGGTCAGGTGGATTTGTTTAAGCAAAAGTTGGCATTGTCTCAACATGGGACCTGGTTGCCCTTTGATTACTTCAAAACCTTAGAAGGGTCACCTAGCCTCTGAGGACCGGTCCATCCCTTTTGCTGTTTTTCCCCCGCTCTAAAAGAGACCCACATCCATTTGTTCATTGCGCGTCCGACCCCCTCGACCAATTTGACCACAGGGCGGATGCGGATGCCCTCTACCACCGGCACGGCGTGACATTGCGGAGGGCCTTCGATCTGCAGGTGCTGCATGCCTTGCGCTACAGCCAGACCAACGACAAGCGCCTTGTGCCAGAGGGCCTCTGCGTATGGAGAAACACATCATGGGCGCCAAGAACCCATCAGTGAGGTAGCCCGAGTTGTTGACCCTCTGCAAACCATCCCTTAACCACTAACCAGGGAAGCTGGGCGGGTGGCTGGGTGGCAACAGTTGCAACATCCAAGCCCTCCCCTAAGGGAAAGCAGCTTGGGGGTTGGCCTTCCTATGTTAATCTGGGAAGTAGCTAGACAAAATGATGTATGGTAAAGCGGGGCGTGAGGAAGTCACCCAAACCTTCGCGTGTTTGGAACTGAGGTTCATTCAACCATATCCCAAATGTAGGTTCATTCAAACATGGTCCTAAGGACCGAGTAAGCGGGACGGGCTTCGCGTTTGTTTTAGCTTCCCTAGCTTTTCGAGGGGGGGAGACTGGCTTTCGGGGGGGAGGTTGAATGGATCTTGGGACCTGTCAAGTGTTCAGTGTCTCTACTGAAGGAAGAAATCATTGCGGGGCTCATAGTTGTGACCCAAACTATTGAACAGTTTGAAAGCCACGTGGCTTCCAGAGCCGCAAAAAGCACTGCAGTGCAAGCATGGCCAGCTCTAAGCTCATCCACTGTTGCCAGATCGACTCCTAAAAGTTGGCAAGACTTAAAACGGCAATGATTTGTTTATTGGGAACAAAACTCTGAAGTGGTTGGTGGACATGAATCCCTGACCTGAATGATGTCCACCAAACAGTCCCCTATTAGAATCCATTCAAGCAACAGGAGACAATGCAACCTGTCCTAACACCAAAGCCTCAAAGAGGCTTCAAGGTCCCAGCCATTCACCAAACCCACTCCACCAATTGTGTCCTGTTGGAAAAAGAGAGATCATACTGAAAGACACAAGAGAAAGTTCCCCAAACCCAACAAAATGTTGCCAGCACCAGGAAACAAGTCCATTTTCTGGGGACAAGTTTGGCAAAGCTCCCAGAGAGCGGGGCAGTTGGAATCAACCGTTCCAAATCAGCTGAGGTACGTCAAGGGGCTGCAAAGGTGCCTGGATGACGCGGGGGTGGTTCCTCTTTTGGAGAGGCAGCGCGCCGCGCAGATCAAGAAGGCGCGTTCGGGGTGGAGCCCTACAGAAGTCCCCTAGTTTTTGGTAAGGCTTGTTGATTGGATCCATTTTTTCCCCCCCCCCCAAAGGGCTGTTCTTTTTTTGTACTAGGGCTGATCCCCTGGTTGGTTGGTTGGTTGGTTGGTTGGTTGGTTGGTTGGTTGGTTGGTTGGTTGGTTGGTTGGTTGGCTGGCCGCATCGCCGTCTATTGGCTCTGATTGGGTGGCAGTCAGGAGTTGCTGGGGGCTGGTTTAAGTTAGGGGGGCTTTTGGCTGGCTTAGATCTTCATGAGGGTGGGTCTTGGGGTGGTTTGGGGAAGAAGAAAGGCGAAGCGAAGGGCTGACATCCAGGCTGCTGTTGGGCGGGTTTGGGGTTGACTGAGAGGGTTTGGGTTGGTTTGGAGCTGATTTGTGTTAGGTGTGCTGCTGGTTTAGCAGCGGCTTTAGGGTTGCTTTAGGGTGTGGTTAAGTGAGTTTTGGTCTCGTTTCGGATCGGTTTGGGGCGTTGCCCCAAACCACCAAAACTCGTCCACAACTACCACACCCTAAAGCAACCCTAAAGCCGCTGCTAAACCAGCAGCACACCTAACACAAATCAGCTCCAAACCAACTCAAACCCACTCAAAGTCAACCCCAAACCCGCCCAACAGCAGCCTGGATGTCAGCCCATCGCTTCGCCCCAAATCAATCCCCAACCTCCAAGCCAGACAAAAGCCCCCCTAACTTAAACGAGCCCCCAGCAACTCCCAACTGCCACCCAATCAGAGCCAAGCACCCCCAGGTCCAAGTGATGCTGGTGATGCTGGGGATGTTACCAGCCCTGCGGACAACCAGCCCGAGAAAAAACCAGCCCGAGTAAAAAAACAAATCATCACTGTTACCTTTTCGATTTCACCGCACGCTGCACCCATTATTTCGGGGTAAGGCAAATTTTGAATGGTCAATCTTGCGACTCCAGGTACCTGACAGATGCAAAATCTCCAACCAACAAAAACAAAACAACAACAACAATCCACTCGAAGAACGTTGGCCGGAATGCATGACATACAGCGAGCGCGGCATGTGATGCCAGATGCGTTCTGGATTTCTCACACGACATGCTCACGCACGTCGCGTCAATACATTTGTTTGTTCATGTGTATGTTCTATGCCGTACATGTGTTGTGCTCTTCTGTGATAATGCTTCAGTGTTGCACAATTTTTGAGTCAAGCTTCTCTGCAAGTTTCTTTGCGTAAGATCTACGCGCAAGTTTCTCTGCGCAAGCTCTGACGTTCTCTGCGCTAGTGGGCTCTGAGCACCTTTTCTTTTCCGCGGACGTTGTGAATGTAAGTTTCGCTGAGCGAGCTCTCGGTGCATGTTTAGCTGTGCAAGTGCTCTCTGCAAGTTCTCTGTGCAACTGTCTCTTTGCAAGTTGTTCTGTGCAAGTTTTTGCGTGTGTTGTTCGCAATGCAGCGGGTCGTTCTCAAGGCAAGTTCAGAACAAGTTGCACATCAACCACGCCGATCCCCGCAAAGGGTGTCATGTTCGCGCCGCCGCCTCAAAAGATTAAGTTTGATTCCGGGTCCATATTTCTCGTGGAAGATGTCTCGCGCGAACTTTCTCGTGAATGATTTCTTGTGCAAGCTTTGTCGTGCAATTCGTTTGTGCAATTTGCCGCACGAATTCTCTCGTGCAATTTGCCGCTGGAATTCTCTCGTGCAATTTGCTGCGCTGCTTGCGAGAGCTATCTCGTGCAGTTTGAAGCGCGAGTTCTCTCGTGCGACTTGCTGCGCATGTTTTCTCGTGCTACCTGCTGCGCATGTTCTCTTGTTGCGTACACTCTCGTGCCTCTCGTTTTGCATATGCTCTGCTCTCGTGCTTCTTGCTGTGTGCGTGCTTGCACGTGCTTCTTGCTCCGCATGTGCTCTCATGCTGCTTGCTCACGTGATTTTTGCAATCTCTGTGTGCTAATCGGCTGTGCGATAAGGCTGGTGATTTTACCGGAATCCTTCGCAATGCTTTCGAAAGAGGGATAGTAACGGCTTGTTCTTAGAGGCCCAAACTCGTCAGCGGGTTGGGTCACCTTTTCTTCAACCAAACCTTGGATTTCTCTGAAGGGACACTAAAAAGAGGTTCAAAGAACAGGCTTTAAACATGTGCAGTCCCACTCAGGAGGTGAGGTTCGCTGTGGCATGTTCAAGCGGTTGAATTGCCTGGACAGGCCGGGAAGCAACTCTTCGCACCAGAGCTCGGGGGGCGAGCAGAGGTGTGGATGGAACGACCGCTGCGACAATTGCTGGTGGACGCTCTACTAAGCCTCACTTCCCCACTGACCAATCGACCTGTTGGCTTTTCCAGGTCTGTCTACTTTTTGTCGATGTTCCACAAGGTTAGCCTTCTATCCCTATGTCCTTTGGGCAAGTGAGAAACAGAGCGCTGGTCAAAATCCGGAGACGAGTTTGACAGGTACCAACCACTGGCGAATTGTCGCTTGCACCAAAGAACGATTCACGTGTGTAAGAGTCCTAGAGCCTTCAAAATGAAGGCTCGATTCGGATCAAGCCCTTTTCAGATTCATCAGAGGTTGTTCCCGCCCCCCTAGCGGAATGGTTTTGTTTTCACAATTTTAAAAGTTGGCCTATGTTTCTCACCTTATCGCGTTTTTTTGTTGTGCGTGCACCCAATTTGAGGAGTACGCTGCCTTGGACGTGAAATATTTGGTCGAGATCAAGCGGCTCTGGTCCGATACCGCTGCTTCGGCCGTGTTCCGCGTGACTGCTGCGCGGCTGCAGGGGGCGATGCTGGCGCCCCTTCCCGCCAAAGGTCAGCACATGAGCGTGCGCGACTTCTCCCTGGGCCCAGCTGCCCAGTTTTTGGGGAAGCCGGCCGTGTCGGCGCGGTGCTTTCAGTGTGGTGGAGAAGGCCACCTGTCCAGGAACTGTCCCAGCCGCCACACGGATGATGAATTTGATGACTTTGATGTGTGTGATGCCTCTGATTGATTTGACTTTCAGGCTGCATGGCTTCTTTGGCATCGCCCTGGAACACAAGCTCTTCCAGGGACAAGTGGCGAAGTTTCAAGACTGCATGGAGGTGTGTAGCGTTGCGCTGACGTGCATTATTTGACTGCTTCGGTCCCCTGGCTGGATGCAGAATTCTGGATCAGACTGCACAGAACGCTGAGAACGCATATTTAGAGCCGTGCAAGTTTGAATTGAGCGCCCAAAATGCCCGATGGTGCCTTCAGTACTGGTTGAACTGGGATCATAGCAAGGCAAGGCCTCCACAAAGCTTTGTACCCGGCTTGGAACCAAACATCAGCTCGGGTTTTGGGCGCCCCTCAATGTGTTCTTTTGGCGTTTGCTGGGCGATGGATTTCCTGGCCTGATGGCCGGCTGCAGCATCGAGCAGCGTTACACACGGGTACGTGGGCAGTGCCCGGATTTCTGAAATCAGCCAGAGTATTGGGGCTGATTCCCTTTGAATTCCTATTCATCAACCAGGGGTTTATGATTCCTAGGTTTCCACTACGACCCTTTGTCGAGGAGACAAATTACCCATCTCCACCCTAAGACATCTCAAGGAACCTTTTCTGGGGTGCGGCTCTTGGTTGCCAGAATTGTACAACTCCTCAGTTGCCCAAAGCCGACCTTTTGACCTTTTGGTTTTTCCCTTTTGGTCTAGTTTTAGTCATGGCCCCAAAAGGTTAACCTTTTATTTCTGGGCCCTTTGGGCAAGTGTTCAACGCGTGATGCTTGTGGCCGACCCTTCATCGGCAGCAGGGCAATAGAGGCTGCCATGTTGGCAGGAACAGGCCACTTTAGTTTGGCTTTGCTGCCACAGGATGCGAGCTGCCGCTGTTTTAAGTTTATCAGCTTGCTTGTTCTCAAGAAGGGATATGTTGTTTTTTTGGAACTTAGCCCGTGTGGTCGTTTCCAGATTCCCTATCAAGAACAAGCAAGGCAGTCTACAGCCACTCGCATCTGCTGTTGCGCCTGAAGTTCCCAGCCGACCTTGGTTTTGAGTGGGAGTGTCTTCTTGAGGGTACCTTTTTTTTGGGGTTGTTTGAAAGGACACCAAACAGACCGCAGCATTGTAAGGGTTCCATATCCATTTTGGAGACAAATGCTGCCATCGTTTACCCTTGGATTGTCGGGCTTGACCACTTCTGGGCTGAGAGCAAAGGCCAAGGCCAGTTTGCTGAGTGGAGCGTTTTCAAGGGAAGCCGTAGCAGAGAAAGAACCGGCTGAGAGCCATAGGGTTCGGACGTCGGGAGCGGTTTGTTGCTTTTGCATTGCCTAGTTCTTTGCCGGCGTTGTCTCTACACCATGGGCTTGTCTCAAAATCTCGGGAGTTCGGACCGGGCGCCCATCTTTTCGGATTCCATTTGGCTTTCCTTCTGGCTGAAGAGAGAACCAGCCAAAAGTCACCCTTCAATTGGTGATTTGGATTGGTTTGGGGACACCACCAATTTAATGTTGGCACTTGAGTAATAAAGGCCCCCCCCGCCTCAACAATGGAGGCGCTGGAAAAAAGTAGGCTCACTTTTGGGACGTCCAAACAATGGAGGAGTTTGGGGCCCAATTCTACTTTAGTCTTGCAGCTACTTCCTTTTTGCAACTCTACTTTAGTATTGCAACCACTTCTTCCTGAGCAGACTTTTTGGAATACTACTTTAGTAGAACAGCTTCATGAAGCGGGCCACCAATTGAAAGGGGAATGCTTTTAAGCAAGTGGGCCACCAATTGAAAGGGGAATGCTTTTAAGCAAGTGGGCCACCAATTGAAAGGGGAATGCTTTTAAGCAAGTGGGCCACCAATTGAAAGGGGAATGCT